GTCGTCGTCCGGCGTCGTCGTCGTCCGAATACACATTAGTTTTCGCGCTCTAACTTTAGTTTAAGTGAATGGATCTCATTGAAATTTTACCATAAGGTTCAATACCACAAAAGGAAGGTGGGGATTGATTTTGGGGGTTATGGTACTAACAGTTAAGGAATTAGGGGCCAAAAGGGGCCAAAAATAAGCATTTTTGTAACTTCCAGACATAACTTGTGTGTAAGTGTATGGATCTCTCTGACATTGTACCACAAGGTTCCATATCACAAAGGGAATGCTGGGATTGATTTTGGGGGTAATTGTCTCCAAATTTTAGGAATTAGGGGCCAAAAAGGGGCAAAAAACAAGCATTTTTCTAGTTTCATGACAATAACTTGCTTGTAAGTGTATGGATCTTTATGAAATTGTACTACAAGGTTCCATATCACAAAGGGAATACTGGGATTGATTTTTGGGGTAATTTCCTCCAAATATTAGGAATTAGGGGCCAAAAAGGGGCAAAAAACAAGCATTTTTCTAGTTTCATGACAATAACTTGTTTGTAAGTGTATGGATCTTTATGAAATTGTACTACAAGGTTCCATATCACAAAGGGAAGGCTGGGATTGATTTTGGGGGTTTTCACTCAAAATTTTAGTAATTAGGGGCCATAAAAGGGCAAAAAAAACATGCATTTTTCTAGTTTCAGGACAATAACTTGTGTGTAAGTGTATGGATCTTTATGAAATTGTACTGCAAGGTTCCATATCACAAAGGGAAAGCTGGAATTGAGTTTGGGGGTAATTGCCCTAAACGTTTAGGAATTTGGGGCCAAAAAGGGGCCAAAAAACAAGCATTTTTCTAGTTTCCAGACAATAACTTGTGTTCAAGTGTATGAATCTCTCTGAAATTGTAGTGCAAGGTACCATACCACAAAGGGAAAGCTGGGATTGAGTTTGGGGGCGGTGAATCATAAGGGGGTTCAAAAAATTGGGGGGGGGGATTTTTTTTTTCCTTTTTTTTCTTTAACATTTTCCATTTTAAATTGGTTATTTCTGATTTATATATAAAAGCAAATAATAATGATATGGTTTGAATAGGCATACATGTGAACCTCCCAACGGGAGTACAATAATCCCGTTTTCAGGGGTCTCCTCCCGACCTCCCGTTGAAGAGGAAAAAATCCCGTGTATGAAATTTTTCATGAATGAAAAATTTCTGCCCAACATATCATCTCAGGCATCTGGTGTAACTGACATTACCTGAAGTTATATTTTACCTGTAAATCAATTAACATGCATAATTATATGGCTTCACTTGTCAGCTTGGGTGTCAAACATACTGGTAAGCAACGATTTTTACCTCAGGCTAACTGCCGTTGTGTAACAAAAACTGTGTATTTATTGGGTTACTTCCCTTGATTTATCCTGTTTTAAGTTACTTTCCTTTTAATAATGAAAATTTTTAAAAGAATATAAATAAAATATAAATTGAACAAATAATCATAAAAGGATGGTTATTAAATGATTTTAAATGTCTTAGGACAAATAAAAAAATAATAATTTGAAAATTATTTGAGGATTCTATACTTCCTTTTAAGGCTTAAATTGAAATTTATATAATAACTATGACCCTAACTTTTCAGATAGAATGAATTTCTGAGTTTGCAAATAAAAACTATTTGCAAGAGAAAAAAAAAATAAATAAAAACTATTTTCAGACAGCTAAAAAAATGTTCTAGTTGCAATGATTGTTTTATAGAATATGAAGTAAAAAATTTAAAGAACATACTGGAAAAAAACAATGTTAGATTGAACATGTAGAATATAAAGATGGAGAAACTTTATAAGTACAAGGGTACTATAAACATAATAAATTGGATGGAAGGTTGAAGAAAACACACTTTAAAAGACCATTTTTACAGCACACGGTTACATTTACAACAAAATTAATGTCGATTAAAAACCTCCTGATCTGAGTCCTAATCTCCTGACCAAAATTTCCCAATCTCCTGATCTGAGTTTCACAGTCCATCACATGTATGAATAGGTAAATTGAAAATTTTTAAGTTCTTAGACCACTTTCATTCTGTGTCAGAAACCTATGCTGTGTCAAATATTTAATTACAATCCAAATTCAGTGCTGTATCAAGCTTGAATGTTGTGTCCATACTTGCCCCAACTGTTCAGGGTTCGACCTCTGCGGTCGTATCAAGCTGCGCCCCAGCGGAGCATTTTATTAAAACTTGACATGATCCCATCATAAAATGTTAAATTCATGTTTATAATAGCAATAGTTTTGTTGGTATGAATGAATTGTTTTAACTAGAATAGGTAGTATGCCAGGCTTAAGGATTACTAGTCCATGTTTTCTCCATTTTGATTTGAATACCAAAAGAAAGTGGGTAAACTTTGTGAGTAGCATAACTTCATATTTCCTCACAGACATCTTATTCTTGACATGAATTTCATTACTGGTAACATGACTTTATCAGCAGTTTAAACTGAGTATAAAAGGAAACTTTTAAGTGTTATTTCCATATAAATAATCCTTTATTTTTCAATTTCCTCAAGATTATTTTAAATGTTTTGTTAAAAAGTGAAAAAAAGATTTAAATGAAACTAGGTTCAATTTTCATAATGGATCTTTATACATGCAAACAAGCATCAAGTAGGTTATCTGTTTAAGACAGGTTTTTGATTCATTTTTATACGACCGCAAAAAAATTTTTGTGGTCGTATATTGGTATTACGTTGGCGTCGTCGTCGTCGTCGTCTGGCGTCGTCCGGCATCGTCCGAAGACACATTGGTTTTCGCACTCTAACTTTAGTTTAAGTTCATGGATCTCTATGAAATTTTACCACAAGGTTCAATACCACAAAAGGAAGGTTGGGATTGATTTTGGGGGTTATGGTACCAACAGTAAAGGAATTAGGGACCAAAAAGGGGCCAAAATTAAGCATTTTTGTAACTTCCAGACATAACTTGTGTGTTAGTGTATGGATCTCTCTGACATTGTACCACAAGGTTCCATATCACAAAAGGAATGCTGGGATTGATTTTGGGGGTAATTGCCTCAAAATTTTAGGAATTAGGGGCCAAAAAAGGGGCAAAAAACAAGCATTTTTCTAGTTTCATGACAATAACTTGTGTGTAAGTGTATGGATCTTTCTGAAATTGTACTACAAGGTTCCATATCACAAAGGGAAAGCTGGAATTGAGTTTGGGGGTAATTGCCGAAATGTTTAGGAATTGGGGGCCAAAAATAAGCATTTTTCTAGTTTCCAGACAATAACTTGTGTTCAAGTGTATGGATCTCTCTGAAATTGTACTGCAAGGTACCATACCACAAAGGGAAGGCTGGGATTGATGATGGGGGTAATTGCCTCAATATTTTAGGAATTAGGGGCCAAAAAGGGGCAAAAAACAAGCATTTTTCTAGTTTCAGGACAATAACTTGTGTGTAAGTGTATGGATCTTTCTGAAATTGTACTACAAGGTTCCATATCACAAAGGGAAGGCTGGGATTGAGTTTGGGGTTGATGAATCATAAGGGGGTTCAAAAAATTTGGGGGGGGATTTTTTTTTTTTTTCCTTTTTTTTTTCTTTTAAAATTTTCCATTTTAAGTTGGTTATTTCTGATTGATATTTAAAAGCAAATAATAATGATATTGTAGGAGATACACACCAAACAGGATGTGTAAATTATTATATAATAAGTATTGTGCAATAGCAAGAAATTTTCAATTGCACAGTATTGCACAATAGCAAGAAATCTTCAATTGCACAGTATTGCGCAATAGCAGGAAATCTTCAATTGCACAGTATTGCGCAATAGCTAGAAATATCCAATAGCACAATATTGCGCAATAGCAAGAAATTGTCAATTGTACAGTATTGCGCAATAGCAAGAAATATTTAATTGCACAGTATTGTGCAAAAGAAGATACTTCGTATAAATTGCTTATTTCTTGACCAATTTCAATGGGGTTTTATTCTTGAATTCTTGGGGTTCTTTAATATGCTGAATCTAACCGTGTATTTAGTTTTTGGATTTTGGGCCCGGTTTTAAATTGGTCGATATTGAGGTCCAAAGGGTCCAAAATTTAAACTTTGTTTGATTTCATCAAAAATTGAATTATTGGGGTTCTTTGATATGCCGAATCTAACCGTGTATTTAGATTCTTAATTTTTGGTTCCGTTTTCAAATTGGTCTACATTAAGGTCCAAAGGGTCCAAAATTAAACTTAGTTTGATTTTAACAAAAATTAAATTCTTAGGGTTCTTTGATATGCTGAATCTAAACATGTATTTAGATTTTTGATTATGGGCCCAGTTTTCAAGTTGGTCCAAATCGGGGTCCAAAATTAAACTTTGTTTGATTTCAACAAAAATTGAATATATGGGGTTCTTTGATATGCTGAATATAAAATGTATTTAGATTTTTGATTTTTGGACCCCGTTATCAACTTTGTCCACATTGAGGTCAAAAGGGTCCAAAATTAAACTTTGTTTGATTTCATCAAAAATTGAATTCTTGGGGTTCTTTGATATGCTGAATCTAACTATGTATTTAGATTTTGGATATTGGACCATAATAGGTGAATGTCCAATTTAAAATTTTTAAGTTCTTAGACCACATTCATTCTGTGTCAGAAACCTATGCTATGTCAAATATTTAATCACAATCCAAATGCAAAGCTGTATCAAGCTTGAATGTTGTTCCATACTTGCCCCAACTGTTCAGGGTTCGACCTCTGCGGTCGTATCAAGCTGCGCCCTGCGGAGCATTTTATTGCAATTGAAATGAAATGAAATGCCTAATGCCTGTTGAGCAGTGTTGATAAACATGTACAAGGGACAATTATTTACTGGTAGGGATGTATGGTGAAGGTTCCTTGACTGCCATTATGAACTGAGGTACCTGTTTTATGAAGTTTTAATATGATATAAATGTTTAAAAAAATATGTTGGTCTCAAACACAAATTGCTTACAACATGTTTTATACATTTTTTTCCAGCTATTACATCTCAAAAGCAACAAATACCTGACAGTAAACAAAAGACTCCCTGCTTTACTTGAAAAGAATGCCATGAGAGTAACACTAGATGTGTCTGGAAATGAAGGATCTTGGTTCTATATCTCTCCATTCTACAAACTTAGACAATCAGGAGACACTGTAAGTCTTTCCAAAGAAAAGTAAATTAAACTGGACCAAAGATCAGAATGGGGAAATGAGCTTTTCTCATGAGTTTCTATACACAATTCTGACATTCCTAAAGTAAGTAAGGACAGATGGCCTCATGTTCAAACATGCATAAATAGGTCTAAGCTAAGTAAGTAAGAAATTGCTCTCATGTATACAATTCTTACCAGATTATCGAAAGCAATGTCTTAGAATATTTGAAAATCAGTGCCGATCAACTATTTTCTAAAGCATTATTCCCTTTAGAAAAGTTATTATTATTTTTAAACTCTTGTGTTTTTGGCAGCTGATGTTGTTCTAGACACACGTTTATTGTGAGATCTTCTCTTTTTCAAACATTTTAAAACAAACTTTCATGGCATTAAGAAAAGAAAGTTCACTTCCCATTTCTTATATAAAATTAAAGGGCATGAATTAGTTACAGAAAAGAAGGGAAAAATAGCATATTGGATATTCTGGTTTTCAAGTAAAAAAAAAGACAGTTGTAAAATAGCATATATACTTTTTGTGATTATGACAGAGTCCAATCATCACTAGCCAAACATAGGGGTAATTTCTGTAGTCTTGTCACAGTTGTGTTGTCATCCACATTACCTTTTTGTTAAACATGAGAGTTTTTGTTGAAAGTGCCATAAATTATTAATAAATAGATAATATTTAAGGAAGATCTGTAAAATCTCCTTGTTATGTTACTTCAATGTTGCATGCAAATTGTATCATGAAGCAATTACTGATGCTCACATTCTATGAAAGACTTTATTTAGATGTTTTAAAAAAAATCAGAAATGGTATCATTTTCCTATAAAGTGTTAAATGGAAAAATTAATCCAAAAGTGAACCTTCTTATAGAAAGAACTTGATACTGTAAAATGTGAAATTTTGTGAGGCTCTAGTTTTGCTAATTTCAAAGTTATTAAGAGGGAATTGCCAAAATATCTCCTCATGTAAATTTGATCTTTAAGGAAGGCCAGAATTAGGGGGAAAAATGTGAAAGATAAAACCTTGCAATCAGGTTTGGTTCTAGAAATTGTGAAATTTAATGTCAGTGATAGTAAACCAATTTACAGTAAGTCTTTTGAAATTATGTTTGAATTGACCAATCTTGAGTTTTTGTTTTTGAATGAGTCAATTGGTGTAAATAATTTCATTGAACAATCGGTTTTTACTGTGACGTAATAACATAAGCATTGTGACATGGGAAATGAATGGGAAAATGCATGAATTTGAAAGTCGTCTATATACACCTGCATATGATTTGGTGAAATCTTTTTACTTGTAGGTTGTGGTTGGAGACAAAGTGGTACTGAACCCAGTCAATGCAGTCCAACCTCTTCATGTTAGTAACTATGAACTGGCAGATAATCCTGGATGCAAAGAGGTTTGTATTGTGGTACCTAACTATAGGTAAAACCCTAAATGCTTAGTACATGATTAAGCACATACATATCACTTATAATTCATATTAGTTAAAGTTAAATTGTTTTCCTTCAATAGTTAGTCAATCAGTTACAGCTAAGTCTGACCGGACGTAGTACTGTACACTTTTAAAAATAAATGACAAATAAGTGTTGAACTAGATTTCATGGTTCAATGATAAATTAATGTTTTTGGTTTGTGGCATGTTAAAATTTGGGGTTTAATGTAGATTACAATGAAGTGGTGGTAAAATCAACTTGAACTTGTACACATGTTTATTATGATGTTTACTTTTAAGAATATAGGCCAAATTGACAATCAATGCTTATCAGCTGGTGGCGGCAGTGGCAGGCATTAACTGTTTATATAATATAAATAAGAAGATGTGGTATGAGTGCCAATGAGGCAACTCTCAAATCAAGTCACAATGTATAAAAAGTTAACAATTATAGGTCAAAGTATGGCCTTCAACACGGAGCCTTGGCTCACACTGAACAGCAAGCTATAAAGGGCCCCAAAATGACTAGTATAAAACAATTCAAACAGGAAAACCAACTGTCTAATCTATATAAAAAAAATGAGAAATGAGAAATACTTATGAACCACACCAACAAACGACAACCACTAAACAACAGGCTCCTGACTTAGGACAGGTGCATACAAATGCAGCGGGTTTAAACGTTTTAACAGGCGTTAACCCTTACCCTAACCTGAGACAGTAATGTAACATTACAACATAAAAAGACACACTATAAAATATCAATTGAAATGGCTTAACTCGATCAAAAAGACATTTAAACAATAACAACTAAACATACACTGAACGAATAAAGCTTTATTTTAGCTAAGGTAACCACTTATGATAAGTCAATGGTATTTGGTATGTAGCTTTATAAGCATTAGCATTTCTCATTTCCATGGAGGTTATTATACCACCGCTTTAAAAAAGTGGGGGTATACTGTTTTACCTCTGTCTGTCCATCCATCCGTCAGTCCGTCCTTCCGTCCCATGAAAATTTTTCATAGCATTTTTTCTCAGGAACTAGAATACAAGGATTTCTGAAATTTGATTTCAGAGTTTATATAAGTCGGCTATACCGTGTGATGCGTTTTCAGATTAATCACTCAACAACTTCCTGTTTACCGTCAAATTTTTAGGCTGGGGGTATCATCAATGAGCAGTAGCTCGCAGTTTCACTTGTTTGGTCTTGCACCTTAAGTCATGGTTCATTGATTTTGAATGTTTTGCATAATTAACATGTTTAAATATTGCTATTTGGTTTCAATATTTGCATTATGATCAAAATTATAAAAAGACGAGGCATATCTCTGTGTCAACAGTTTATGTGATAATTTGGGGTTAAAATTTACTGTAAAAAACTTTTTTAAGTTTTGTTCAAAATTTACAAATTTTGAGATACTTTGTTTTAAGATTTTAATGAATATTGATATATAGGCATGATAGATATCATTAGCTATTTCAAATTGTTTTCAGGTGTTAAAAAAATGTGGTAAAATTTACTTTCTGTTAAAAAATCGAAATTAAGAGAATTATTTTTGTGGTTCACATGGTACATGCTATTCAAAATTGTTACCCAGCGTAAAAAAATTATTTTTTTTGTCTAAACTGGGGGATATATGTGAGAAAACTGAGTTAAATAAATTTTGAGAATCCTCTGCTTTTGCTAGGATTTCAATGAAAATCTATATGCAGGTATAAATTTTTATTCCAAAATAATTCTCTGTGTCAAAAATTATTGGTTGCCAAGCATTACAAAAATGTGCCTGTCTCAAGTCAGGACTGCCTGTAATTCAGTAGTTGTCTTTGTTGCTGTATACCATATTTGTTTTTCTTTTATTGTTTTGTACATAAATCAGGCCGTTAGTTTTCTCATTTGAATTGTTTTACATTTGTCATTTGTCATTTGACCCGGTTTTCAAGTTTTCAAGTGGTCTCATTGCCTAAACCTCATTTCCAAGGGTCATTTATGGTTTGGGATTTAGTGTAAGTAATTATTCTTGATAAGTTGAAAATATTTTGATTGTGAATCTGTTTCATATATATGTGCACTTTACATATATCATTAGACTGGTGAGTTAACCACAGTTTTTAGTTACCCTTTCAAAAATAAATCTACTGAAGGGGGACATTCATATAAAAAAGTAGATGTTGTAAGATTGCCAATGAGACAACTCTCCACCAGAGACCAAATGATGTAGAAGTAAACAACTATAGGTAACCTGAGACAGTAGTGTAACATTACAACATAAAAAGATACACTATAAAATATCAATTGAAATGGCTGAACTCGATCAAAAAGACATTTAAACAAAAACAAGTAAACATACACTGAATAAAGCTTTATTTTAGCTAAGGTAACCACTTATGATAAGTCAATGGTATTTGGTATGTTCTCCTATAGGTCACCATATGGCCTTCAGCAATGAGCAAAACCCATACAATGTAATAAGCTATAAAAAGCCCCAAAATGACACATATAAAACTCATTGTAACTAATTCTTTTAGACATGATTTTAAAATTATCATTTTGATTTGTTTAATAAATGCAAATAGATAATAACATTGTAGTTTCAAAGTGAAATTTCCAGTAAATAAATTGTGGGCCTCTTTTATAAAATTCTATTTGTTTTATTAATCATTGCTTATTTTTGTCCCCTGAGCAATATAATGCGGGGGACATAGAAAAACTGGACATCCATACTCTCCTGTCTCACACATGCATTATTGTCAGATATTTATGAAATTTATATCATAGGTTTATATTAGCAATGTATCAGACGAATTTGAAAATCAAATCCCAACAATTATTTTTTAAAGAGTTATGCCCTTTGAAAATATAAATTATATTAAAAATAGTATAATAAGCTCTCTCGAGCCTACCTTTCTTGTAGGATTGTTATGAAATTTATGTCAAAGGTTTATATCGGTAATGTCTGGGATGAGTTTGAAAATCAGTGCCTTTGAAATGTAAATTCTATAGGAAATTGCATTTCAAGCACTTTCAAATGTACAATTCTTACCAGATTTATTTCTGAATTTAACTAAAATATAAAATTTATATGAAACTGTTATGGTGTGATAGCTAATGAGACATCTATCCACCAAAGACCAAGCATCAAATGCAAATGTTCAAATTTAATTGCCACTCCATATTTCTAAATACCTAATTTAAACCTACAGCTAATAAACATAACATTCATCAAAAAATTGAAAATTGAGAGATATTGAAACTGGTGACTTTCAAAAATACAGTTTAAAGAGATAGTATATCAGTGAAAAAGATAGTGTTTCAAAGTTCAAAAGGGTCTAGGGGAAAACACTGAACTAACTCCATGCGATTTGAGAAATTGAATTGTTTACTCTTGAAGGAAAGAGGAAGAATAATGACATAAGCCATTGGCAAAGAAGGATGGAATCTATTGTTAGTTTTCCCCCTATTCCTTTCAAAGTGTCCTCATTTGCACCCAATTATTACATGTTTTTCTTGGAATTTATACATTTTTAGCCCTTATTATATGATTTACTTCTATAAATAGATGGTACGACATTGTTTATATATTTAAGGTCAATGCTGTAAACTGTTCAACATCATGGAGATTAACATTATTCATGGATTACAGAGAAAATGTAGAAGACGTGTTAAAGGGGGTTTGTATATCATTGTGTTCATTTAAACTTCACTGTCTTCTTTGAAAGTAATTTTTACTTCAACTTTCCAAATACTCAATCTGCCTGAAATAAGCTGATAGGTTCATTTCTCTCTTTACTAAAATCAGATCAAAATTATCAACTGACTTTTTCAGGAGTTATTGTCCCTGAATGTCCATTTTATGAATTTTTTGAAGAAACAAAGATGGATAGAGAGCAACAATTTTTAGAAAAAATTTTCATCACAATAAGATCTACAAATAGGTCAACATGGTTGAAATCATCATTTGAAGACTGAGAGGAGTTATTGTCCTAGAAAGATGATTTTTTCCCCCCGCATTTTTTTTAGTTTTTGAACAAACTATAATAGTAAGAAAAAAACAGTAAAAAAGCAAAAATGTTCAACACAATTTGGCTAAAATTGTCAAACCAGTCCTTACAGAAATAATTTCCCCTGAATGATGATTTTTATCTATTTTTTGCATTTTTTTCAAAAAGAATAGAAGTTAGAGGGAAACTTTAAATGCAAAAAATATGAACAAAATAAGATCTACAGGTAAGTCAATATGGCAAAATTGTCACACTATTTATAGGATTTATTGCCTTTAAATGATGTTTTATTTTTATCTCAAAAACTTTAATATATAGGTATAAATTATTAACAGTAAAAAAAAATCATCAATACAGGACCTACAAAAATACATCTGAATGTAAGCAAACATAACTGATTGCAATAAAGGAAAAAAAAAAGATAAAAAATTGCATATATTGAAGCAGGTGAGCGATTCAGGCTCTTGGGAGCCTCTTGTTTTCTGATACTTTCAATTGCGAGAAAGGGAATACTCAGCAAAAATTCAAGTTCATTCTTGCTGGGTATTAAGGAAGCTATAGTAGATAGAAAGGAACTGTTTACCACAAATATATTCTGCAGGACAAGATCTTAAAATAAGTTAAGATGACCAAATGCTTTAGTCCATTCCTTTTAGGAGTTATTGCCCTTGAAATTTTTTTTTCACTTCTGCTTATTATGATTATGATAGATAGACGAAAACTCAGTCCATCAAAAAGTGATCAACAAGACAAGATTTTAGCCAAAACATTCAATATTCAACAGAAATGCTCTTATAAAGATAAGGAGATTTGGTATGATTGCCAATGAGACTACTATCCACCAAAGTTCAAGTGAAGTGGATGTAAGCAATTAAAGGTAACATTAGGGCTTCAACAATGAGAAAAACCCATACTGTATAGTCAGCTAATAAAAGACCCTAACATGAAAAATATGAAACAATTCAATTGAGAAAACTAACAGCCTAATTTATAACAAAACAATTTACAAAAAAAAACACAAATATAACAGTCATGAACCAACGACAACCACTGAACTACAAGCTCCTGACTTGGGACAGGCACATAAAGAATGTTGCAGGGTTAAACATATTTGAAGACGTTAACCCTGGGACAGTGGTGTAAAAGTACAAAGTAAGAACTAACTATAAAATTCAGTTGAAAAGGGCTTGGTATCAATATTATGTGAAAATACCAGGTGAGCTTTACAGGCTCCTTAGCAATAGTTCTCATGATAATAAACCAAGAAATGGACAGAAGTTTTAAAGTTTTATTTTTTCATACAATTTTAAGCATAGGATATACTAAAGAGATATGATATTTGTTTCTAAAAGAAATGTATCATCATTTCGTGGTAGCATCCTTCAATCAGGACTTCTGTGAGGTAAAGGAATTGTGCATTCCCATCCCCCTCCCTTTTGTGCTATTCATGAGGATTGAAGGACTCCATTACATCTTTGGAAGACCAAAAGCAACAATTGATTGATTGTTGTTTGCTTAACATCCAATAGAACATAAGCATAATTTTGTAGGGAGATGTTGTAAGATTATTCCATGCTGAAGAACAGATGTTTCTGACAGGAGATGATTACAAGAAGAAACAATATGTATTCCTCAGGATGACAGCAAGAGCCACCGCAACAACAGCCACTAGTTCCAAAGCTCTTTGGGAAGTAGAGGTACATTTTTATACTTAGCCTGTTATTGCTAGTATTTGTGAATTCATTTGTGGTTATGGCATTTCTACACTTGAAAGTAAAAACATATATAGACCAGGGCTTCCCAAAAAAATTTGAGCCAGCCAAACATTTTCTCAATCCCGTTTTTAATCTCTTAAGACTTTGTAATTAAGGCCATTAAGGTAATCACAAGGGAATCTAGGAGATTCTGGCAATGACTAACATGAAAACTATTGATATGGATTCTGTGAACTGACATTAGTTTGTACATTTTGCTCTTAAACCTTTTAAATTTTATTTGAATATTATTTTCATAAAATAAATTATTGAGCTGCAAACCATTAAGATAAGAGAAACAATTTCAAAAAGATTGATTAATGTCCTGTACTTTTTAGTGGGTCTCTTAAAACACCGCAAAGGACCTCCTTTGTGCACAAAGGAGCATAAAGGACCACAAAGGAGTTTCATAAGAGCACAAAGGACCTGAAATTCATTTCAAAACATAAAAATATTATAATTCATGAAGAAAAATGTAAAAAAAAACCAAACAATTTCAATTAAAATTGCGATTTTAATAATGTACGATTTGTAGTTTTCACCGGTATCGGTTTGGAACCGACTTTATATCCGGGTTAAGTGATAGTTTATGTATTTGAATTTTTACATAGTTAAAATGTAACATAACTGATAAAAACGTTAATTATTATTCTTGGTATCTTATTGTTGTAATCTTTCAAGGGTAAAGCATTACCAAAACTTCGAAAATTATATAGGATAGCAATGTGTTGTTGTTTTTTTTTGTCTCATATATCATCACTTTGTTTTCTTTATACGTATGATAATATTTTGAAGTGAAGTAAGAATACTTGCATTATTACAAAAAAGTCAAAACTTTATATTTCCAATTATGATTTATTAAGATTAAATAAACACGATAAATAAATACATATGATTTAACAATAACATTTAAAATTTCGGTTTTGTCCTCACTGCAGCTGTCCTTGGCCGGTGACGTTGACCAGGCTTCTTGGCGAGACGTTTAACTTTTGGTATTGCAAAACCATTTGCTACTCTTCACATATTGTCACTAAACTTTTTGTCACTGGCAAGCTTTCGGTAAAGCACTTCTTTTTCAATTTGGGATTGACTGTGCCATTTGGAATGTTGTATTCTGTGTTTTTTGAAATTTCCAAAAGTTCATAATTGCCGTTTCCAACTATACTGCGTCTTAAATCTGTGTGGTGAAGTTGTATCACATTATATATTTTGTCTAAAAGTTCTGGTAATTGATGTGGTTTCCAGTTCAGTGCTACCTTAAAACGGTGGTTCATGGACTCACAGTTATTGTTTGTCCAGAGTCTGTTAGAGTCATATTTGCAATAGGGTTGATTAACATAATTGAACAAGCGGTTTTTAAGTCTTATCTCATAATAATTGGCAAAACAAGGAAAGCTGTTACAAAGTTCATTGGACTTGATGTCGAAATCTATGGTGTCATCAGCTGTTGCTATGCCATTGTCGTTATCATTGTCTTTTATGTGCTTTGTGCAGAGTAATCTGTCCGTCTTTGAAAAAACGCTGTCTAATGCAACTGTCAAACCACCTTCATCGTCGCTACCAAGTTTGACGTTGAAACATTGCACCTCCGTTAGTATCCGAGCTTTGAAGTGTGAAAGAAAAGTGTGGTAAGTCTCCATGGAACCGTCCCAATGGAAAAACACTGGCCCAATGAATATTGGATGGTCACGGGTTGACTTCGAAATAACCTTTTTGTTTTTATAAACAAAGTTTGTCACAAAAACTGAACCTAAATTGAAAGTTCTGTCAACACCAAGGACTGTACTAGGATCAGCTTGCAAGTGTGTTTTTATGTCAGCTTTCTGCTCAGACGTGAAGCATATGATGGATGGTGGCTTACTGTTATCCTGTGTATATACAACCTCTTTCACAAAGTCATGATCATTTACCATCGACAAAATTTGTAGCACTTCATCGGCTATGTTGGCTTTAGCAGCATGAGAAACCTGTGTTTTGTTGTAATGTTTTTTTGTATGGACTTGTTGAAGATCTTTTGGTGCGTTATCAGGGTCTTTAAGAACCATGTCCTGATATATTTCGATGCAGGATTTCTTATTATTGAGTCCCTCGGTTATACGATTCATTACTGAAGGGTCTGTACGTATAAACTCATGTGAGACGTGTTTGGCATTGCCATGTGTTGTGTTGGTAGTTGGACATGAACCTGTATACTCGACAACGGCTATATGTTGGCGATTCTGAAATGTTGATGGTAGTTTGTTAAATGCACTGACTCGTTTCTTGAAAGTTTTGTCCCTTTTAAGAGGGATGTAGTAACGGTTAAGTGTTAAAACAGAGTCTGGATCTGGTTGAGGATTGTAAGGCACGCATGTTTTTTTGCCTTTCACTTGTTTCTCGAAGCAGTATAGTCCCTCTTTAATAAAAGCAATGCGAAGAGTGTTATTAGATTGCACAACAAAAGTAGTGTTCACTGTATGACCACCATGACTGTCCCAGGCACCACAGTCGTCAGAGTACTGAGAAGGCTGACCATTTAATTTGCGTTTTACATTGTCTGAATTGTCTATAAGAAAATATGCATTGTCTTTCTGGCCTTTTGGGATACTTGCCAATGGAGTTGTGTTAACATCGATAATTGCATGATACAAGTCATTTACTGTTAGATTTTTGCCATTTGTAAGACTGTTAGATGACTGTTGCACAGATGAGTTTGCAGTTTGAGTCAATAATGTAGAAGCAGAGTGGGTTGGTGTTGATGTTTGCATGGTATTTGCTTTTGTTGTAGAACCTGGTATAGGTGATAAGTTTGGCAAAGGTGATAATAATAACCTTGAAGGTGTGCTTTTGACTGCACTTGGAGGAGATGACGCCTGAACAGGAATTGGCGAAGTTGGTGTTGGTGATGATGTTTGCATGGTATTTGCTTTTGTTGTAGAACCTGGTATAGGTGATAAGTTTGGCAAAGGTGATAATAATAACCTTGAAGGTGTGCTTTTGACTGCACTTGGAGGAGATGACGCCTGAACAGGAATTGGCGAAGTTGGTGTTGGTGATGACAATGGGTCACGTTGGATTCGTCGTCTTTCGGAGCAGATGAACCGAGTGGTGGAAAATCTGTAGTGCTATTAAGAGAAGGAGGCGACGGTGAATCAACCCGATAGTTTCCACTTGTCATTGTTAGAGTTTTGAGGAGCGGAACAAAGTGGTCAGCATACCAGTAGTGTTTAGTTTGGTAGCCTTGAAGACGTGTCCACATAACTGTCAAAGTATCAGTATCTATTGATGGCTTTTGTGGCATGACAGTCAAGTTTAAAATTTTAAAAGGACGATCGTTAATGCCGTTCATAGGTGGATACACTGATTTTATGGGCACACCAATAACATTTGCCAAAGCAAATATTGTCCATATTGATGAGTAACCCCCTGGAGATGCACAAGAAAACACAGAGGCAACATAATTGGGTGATACTGTCATCAAACTTGGAGTCACGGGTAAAGACATGATACGGCTTTTTAGTCTTATCATTTCTATGGCTGTACGAACACGCAACTCTGTTGAAAATTCTTGAGTTCCGCACAATGACACAGACACTGAATTGAACAAGCAACCGCCATTCGAGAAAACCTCATACGGAGTTCCAACGTCGTGAAGACGGCACTTTGTCAGAATATTCTGGGCTGTCTGGTCAACTATGAGTGATCCTTCATTGCATTCTGACGGACGCACAAATATGGGCATATTTCTGTACTCTGTCTTTGCAGCTGTAACTAAATGAGCATAGCCATTAGCTGCTTCCTGAAGAAGAAGAAAATGAAAGATATATTATGTATTTAGAAAAGGTTTTTATATTGCGTATACGTCTATTGGTCTGAAAATGTCTGAAATATCTGTCACTGGTCTTGAACATGACGCATAAAAAAATGGTATAGGAGAAAATCTTTAATTGCTATAACGAAAACGTGTTTTCAGAAACAAAGGAAATTTTCTTACTTGACGAATCTTAAATTGCTATGACGGAAAGAATCTGAAGGCACCAAGGGGAATGGTATGGCAGTAATTCTAAAAGTAGCAAATGGAGTTGAATTTTGCTATCCGTTTTTCAGAAATTTCAATATATACTTTGTTTTATCAAATTTTATTCTGCACAAAAACAAAATATTTACCGAAATTTTCTTACTTGACGAATCTTAAATTGCTATGACGGAAAGAATCTAAAGGCACCAAGGGGAACGGTATGGCAGTAATTCTAAAAGTAGCAAATGGAGTTGAATTTTGCTATCCGTTTTTCAGAAATTTCAATATATACTTTGTTTTATCAAATTTTATTCTGCACAAAAACAAAGTATTTACCGAAATTTTCTTACTTGAAGAATCTTAATCAGAACAAAAATGTATACTCAACACAGTGAAGAAAAGTCTGTAGAGCTGTCCTTTGGTTATTTGTGTCGTTAGGTTGCTTGTTACTGACATATAATACATCTTCTCAATTTATTTATTTGTATTTTATTAGCCTGATTAATGGATAATCAAATTTGAAATAAAAAATGGATATTGAAATGAAATTAATTATTTTATCAAGTAGTTTCTGAAATTTACTTTCTGCTATGTATGTGTTAACTAAATTCACACATAAATGGTTAATATATATAATTGACAAAATCATATATCATTTCGAAAATTTTAACATTCGCAATATTAAAATTTAGACTTTTCAAATAATTGAAAAGAAACACTTGCAATAGCAAGTAGATATTTTGAATATTAACTATTCAAATAATTATACGAAAAGAAATAAATACTGTATAAAGAATCATCTACCCTAAGTAGCTTGTTAATTAGATCTATCATATATTGAGATGATTGATAAAAAAATAAGAAGGAGTTCAGTTTCCTTAAAGCAATGCTGATGAAAATAAAAATATTTAATTTAAAATTTATAAATTGCTTTCAAATTAAACAT